GGTGCTCTTCTAGGGCACTTGCCTCCTTATTATGACCATTTTGAATATTTGCCCCTCTCCTTCTTCAAGGAGTTTTATCTTTGGAACCGATTGGTCTGTTACACTTCATGCGTGCCATAGACTCTGTCCCTCATGGACTTTATTCTATTTGGAGCATTAGCAGCTGAAATATGACATTTAGCTTTGGGTCAGCAAATGCGTCTGGCAATAATTTGTAAATGAATTATCACTTGAACTTCAAGTTTATATTTTCTTGTACGAGGATCTATATGTATTCATAATAATTCATTTCACGTATCACTTTCTCAGCTGCCCATTTTCTCCCCCTAATGTTGGGATCACCAACACATTTCCCAACTATCTTTGGGAACTCATCTTTGTGCATTTTGGTGGCATAATTAAATCATATAGCACATCCATATTTCTATATAGAAATTATTTGGTTCCTGACCCTGAACCGATTGTGATAGGGAGAAATTTTTATAACTTGGCTAGATGCGTACAAGTGCTGCTGTATATTAAATAATAAATCTCATACCAAATTTTGTTTTTGGGAGTTTTGTTCTCATAACCAATGATTTAGCTATAATTGGAGGCATACAATTTCTGCTAAACCAACTTGGATTTAAACCAGTATTATTAAGATAAATCATCATAATTTATATTCTGGAATTGTGCTCTAATAATTTGAGCAAGCAATCTTGCAAAAACCAAACTGCAAGTTGATAACAAATGCACATGTGACCATAAAATAGATGCATCTATTAAAATCATATTATAGTAAACAGTCCACATGGCAGGTGACTGGGCCCATATATATATATCACCTTTTATTCCTTCCAGAAATCAAAGGATTCAATCCCAACCTTTAACTGGTATATCATGAGAATAAGCAGCACAAGAGAATTCTTGAAGAATCTTCTATTCTTCAATATGTGTCAATGTAATTCTTAATTAATTTTTCGCATCATAATTGAACCGATATGGTCAACCGGTCATGCCAATTAATATTTATTTTAGTAAATCTCTAGTTTACTTGTGGCATATGATTCCAGCATCATGCTTATATTTGTGTAGTACAAATAGAAAGAAGATCGGGTAACCTTTCATATTTACCCGGTATGATTATAGAAATATGAAGATATTCAATCTTCCTTTCATTTATAGTCTCAATATGCCAATCACTTTGACTTATATATTTGAAACTCAAAAAGTTTCTTTTGAGACTTTACAATATCAATGTCATGAATAAGTTTATTCATCGGGGTAGTAACAAATTAGTTTTTCCGGAGTTCTTAACAACTTTTGTACTACAAAATCTTTTATCATACCATTCATATGGTAAATGTCTCCTTCACGGAGAAAATTATATCATAATAAATTGTCATGGTCAAAATCATCATAAGCAAAATCATTTCTTGCTTTAATTTTGCCTTTAATAACTTTTATAAGGCATGACAAAATAATATTTGGCATATCACATGTACGCGACCAATGACATATTCATGTAACCACACAATAATATTTATTCTCTTTATTTTACTCAAACCTCCCTTAGAGGTGAGTTGTGTGGTATTCATATAATCATGAATTGCATGTCTTTATTCATTGCTTTTATCACATATTGCCACATTCAACTTTAGGAATGGGTTTGCATTCTCAATGCTTATCATAAGTCACATTCTCTTCAAGGAATGGATCATAATCAGCGACGTGCTTTATTATTTTCATACCAATTTGATGGTAAGCATTGCCTTCACATTTTGAAGGACTATTTTGAGAACCCTTATTGTTCTCCTTTTATAATCATAGTGATGATTATTATTATTTTGATATTTGGAACGCCCACGTTCATTGTTCAACCAATTGTCTTCATTGAAACTTATTATGCATTGTTATCACATTCACTTCAAGAATGGAACAAATCAAGTGGGACAATTTTCATGCCTTTTCATGAAAAATATATTATTTTTCTTTAGTCATCATTATATCATCAATATGGTACATTGGGACTCAAACCCAATGTCTTACCAATATAAAGGCATGTTAGGCCATAATAAATTGGGACTCAAACCCAACTCTTATCATTATGGAGCATCAGGACTTGATCCCGATGTCTTATCCTCAATTAATGGCATAATAGGCTAAACAATATTGAGATTCATTCTCAAGCCTTAATTTCAATCACATGCCAAGAAAGTTATACACAACTAATTTGCAACTTAGCAAATCAAATTTGCTTTCTTAAATAAGTGTACAAATCTCAAATCAGCGTAAAGCTTTATTAATTATTTGTAGCATCTATATGAAATACAACCGTTTGTAGTCAGAATATTTCTTCTAAATTCTATTAGAGTTTAAAAGGATCATAAAATCATTGTCATAATATTTATTGAGTCTCTCTCAAAAATATTGTTGTTTTCGGGGTATACCCTACCTATTGGATTTGATTTAACGCCATGACTTTCCTTCACTCAATTCAACCAAGCAATTAGTGAATAAATTTATCAAAAGTACACCATATAGGTAACAACACATATATAGTACTAATACATAAATTCAACATTTATATTACCTGAAAAGTGACATTATAGGTAACAACTTACCAGTTGTAGCTTGTGCATCATTCATATAAAATACTTAAAAATGGTAAGTCAGTAGCAAGCATCAAGTAGGTCATGGATACTCAAAAATACCTCTTCTAGTAGTCATACTAATCATTGTTTGCTTTCAAATGATACGACCATAAATTATGAAGTATACTTTCTCAATAGCTGGTTTGTTTTCCAAATTTCAAAGAAGTAATTAATCAACCTAGATAAAGATGTGAAGTATTTCTTGTTTTCTTCAAGATGATTTATGCTTTTAATCAGTATGACCAATTTTATTTTATTTTTTATTCCTTTTTTTTGGGTACTATATGCAAGTGTAAAAATCCAAAAGGAAAAAAAATATTCATCCAAGTAAAAGAAAATGTTAAAAGCGGCAGGACAGATTGAAGATAGTTAACACATAAATATGCATAAGACAATTTATATAAAATATCCATGGTTACCATGACATGCATCATATCAATAATTAACTGCTACTATGATTTTAACATATAGAACTTCGAAAATTTTATTCCATTCATGTGATATAAAAGATGTAATATTAATATGTGCTTATGCAATACAGGTGTAGTACGAAGTTGTGTGCATATGAGATTTTAAAGGAATGACAAGTATAAGATAATCATACCTTCTTACATTTCATTACTTACCATATGTAGTTTCTCTTTACATTTAACCATGTGATGATATGTATGACTTCTAATTGTAATCTTTCTGGATGTAGGAAATTTTTTGTAGATATATATATACAATTGGTTAGAGACTCGTGCTGATAACGTGTTATGAAATAAAAGCAATTTAGTAAAACATGAACAAGAAATAAAGACAATTTAGTAAAACATGAACAAGAAATAGAGATAGAGAGAAAAGAAGAGTTTTTCTTCTTAAATTGTGTGTATTTTTTTATCTATTACAAAGCCTTTATATAGGCATAAAAAGTGAAGAAAATATGTCATGGAATATGTCATTGAACATAGAAAATATGTCATTAAATATGTCATTAACCATTTGAAAGAAAGATCATGGAGGAAGAGTAGACATCCACCATATTTTGATTTTTATCGTAACACTTTTCTTGATTATTCATTGCGTTCTTTTATCTTGTCAAGCTTACATTGATCTCAATTTGAAGTGTAAATGGTCGGTTTGGTTAGCCATTTATTGATTCTGGTCAAGCCTTGGAAAACTTAAAGCTTTTATATTTGATCATTTTATGCACAACCTCTCTGTGCTTCATCATTTATTTTTCTTTTCTTGAACGTGTATTCACAGTACATATGTAAATTAATTGATCAATGGAAAAGGTTAGCATGATTTGACATGCATTGAAATGGAGCTGCATATTATCATGCAGAGGCGTTTTAGTTCTTCATCAAATGCAGCTGGCATTTGATGGTAGACTCATGCACCATTAAGTTCTTTTGAGGATTAGTATATTTTGCAACAATTAAACTTGGCTACTTGTCCAGAAAATTTGTGCATCAATGCTCATCTTAAAAGCATCCAATAACTAAATCCTAAGGTTTGAACAGATGCAACAACAACAACCCAGTAAAATCTCACTAGTGGAGTCTGGGAGGGTAGCATGTATGCAGACCTTACCCTTACCCCGAGAAGGGGGAGAGGGTAGAGAGGCTGTTTCCGATAGACCTAGCCTTGAACAGATGCATACTCTTAAATCATTCTAGCAGGGAGAGGGTAGAGAGGCTGTTTCCGATAGACCTAGCCTTGAACAGATGCATACTCTTAAATCATTCTAGCAATCCTTCCTTATACAGGAGAGCAATGGTGTATTCCACCAGATAGACATGAGAAATTCCTAGTTTCGGAGGCTTAGCAGGTTCAGAAATTTGTCTTGTAGCTTTGGTTTTTGCATAACTTTACCGAAAAAGACTTCTCTTAATTCATGATTTTGATGTTTATCTTGCATTTTCTACTTTAAGTTAAAGATATGTATTATTGGAAGCAGAGTCTTGCAGGCACTTGACTCTTGAAGAAATTTGAATGTCAGTCATGTAGTTGCATTTACATTTACTAGCTTGCTTATCATCTNTGTTGCATTTACATTTACTGGCTTGCTTATCATCTACCTAAGCTCTTATAATTCAGATGAAAATCTTGTTTGGTTCTTCATTTTTCACTCCACCTCTATTTAATGATGATGAGTTGCAAACTTGGAGGATTCCTCATAGAATATGCTGGTGTTTAGTTTCAGAGATTAATTGCAAAAAACATTTAAAGATACTTTGATGATTTAAGAATCCCATGAAGCAGAAATTGAAGTTGTCTTCAGTGAGTACATGAATGTAAGTCAGTGATGGCTTCTTCAGACTCTGACTTCAGATGCTATCTATAATCCATTACTGGGTGGATACAATATTAAGCACATCAAAGCACAAATAGTAGTGAGGAAAAGCATACTAGAAAGATTAACAAAACCAAACAACCATAGGCCATAATTAAGTTCTCTACTTAAGAACACTTATGAAAGATAAAACTGTCTGTGTAACTGTGAGTAAGAGGAGTATGACGGCCGCCACAGTTGAAACTCCTGCCCACGGACTATGAAAATAATTGCGCCTCAAACTTGCCTTCATTCTGTTCCATGGTTGTTCACAATGTTGCACTGCTTTTCCACATACTTCTTTGTAATGGAAGTCTGATGAAATACCGACCCCCTTCCCAATGTTATTAAATAAGTTAGCCACTTCTTTGTCCTCTCCTATGTCATTCGCGATAATTCCTTTTAGGCGAAGCAGAGTGACATCTTTTTCCGAGTCGATAAGATGATCCATGAAAACTGCAAATTCACTGAAATATTTAGGATCTATATCAGGTGAATGTTGCTCGTAAGCTATAAAATTTCTCAGGAGGGTCTCTGTATTATCGGTGACTTTAAAACAAGGAATTGTCATCAATCCATTCTCAAATCCAATATCAAATAAACTTGTGCTATCTCCAAGGTTATCTTCCGCCAAGCAAGCATAAATATTTCCAACTTTTGAAAATCCAACTCCAGCTTCGCAAAGCTCTGTAGCATTTGGCATGTTGTCTTGCCATGTCAGGTTGTCCTTATCTTTTGGCATTTCTTTCGGCCTAACTCTTTGCAAAAGATTACAACATAAGTTTTTCCTGGAATGTTCTGCTTCCTTGCTAATATTCCCAGTTAGCTTATTAGTTTTCATCTCTGAAGGGTGACATGACATGTGTATTACTTGAAGTAAATGTTTGATTTCTGCGGCATTACCTGCACTCTCATTAAAGGATGCAGGGGTCAGCTTCGGTAAATCATGAAAAAAAATCCACTTCACCATTTTTGTGAATGGTATGTCATAAATTTCATCTTTAGTCATGTCATGAAGTTTGGTAAGGACAAAAAAGGGAAGTTGGTTTTCTAATAACAACAAGTCACGACGTACTTGGTCATCAAGGCAACCTCCAAGGATAATCATGTCTTCTCCTGTTGGTTTTATTCCAATAACCTCTCGAATAAACTCAACCAAAAAACAACCATCAAACAACAACATTTTCAAAAATTCACCAGTGTTGTTGTCACTATCGATAAGGTCCTTTATGTCATCATAACACATTAATGCTTCATCTTTCAGTTCCTCCAATTCTCTGATGCAACTTTCCACGTTAAGCCCCTCTTTCCGCCGGAGAAACCGTTGTAGGTATAACAATTTGTACTTTTCCATTGAGTGAAGTTCTTGATTTTTTTTATGGTAAGGACCAATGGAGATCATTTTTGGTGTATAAGCATCTGGATTTGATTCACGTAACCCCACATTTACTTTGAATATGGTGGTGGACCTGATAGCCAAATTGTCCAAATCCTTATATATTTCATCTAAGATTTTATTTGCAGATTTACTTGTTTGAAAACCTGGTCGATCTTGACCATCTCTTTTATTAGTCTCGATTAAATGACCCACTTTCTCCCCTTCTTTTATCTGTAATTAGTGGAAAAGAGTCACTTTTTATCTTCTTTTTTTCCACATAAATTGTCACTAATATAATGATCAGACAAAACAAAACTCTAAAGACTGAAGATTTTTCCTTTCTTAATTCAGGGAAAAGACAGAAAATTATCAACATATGAAATTAAACTAACCAAATACTGAGCAGTGAGCCGAAAATACTAAGTAAATATTGTCCAAGTGGTTTTCCTTATTTTCCAAGAAATCATGTTCCTTGCTACCAAATATGTACCCTTAATTAATAATGGTTAAGTGATCTATATTCTTACTTTAATTTGTAAGCACATACCTCATCCTTTTCAGCATCAATAATTAGAGGAGTTTGATGGAGTAGTAGTGGAATTTGTTCATCTATCGTGACAGGACTTTCGGGCTGAATTCCATTTTTTTAAAATGTCGTAGTAATATTTATATGCTTATTATTTTCTATAAATTTCTAGCAAGTAATTATCGTGAAGGAATACAAAAACGAATAGTGAATCGTAATGAAGTTTCAAACATCATTAGTGGAAACCAAAAGAGTAAAAGGAAAATAAAACAATTGAATCTTAATAAAGAAGCTTGATCAAACTTGACGTTTTATTATTTTTGCTTTTAATGACTTAATGTATATATTAAAAAAAATATAATTATTAACAAGTGACTATTCATGCTTGCTACCTTGTTTCTTTTTGTACAAAAATACAATAAATAAATAGAAGGAAAGTTTGTGTTAAGAAAGAGAGAGAGACCTCATCATCTTTTGTTGCTTGACGAAGCAGCGGAGTTCGGTGATCAATTGGGGTAATCTCAATAGAGTGTGCCATCCCTCTTTTAATTACTTTCTTCAACTGTAATTCGTGCAAGCAACAGATATTGGTTTAAAATGGCGTGGCATAAAAAAAATTAATTTCAACTCATAGATGGCTGTTATTATTAATCCAATGCATTGCAGAATTTGATTGAAAAAATGAAATCTCGTGTTATTTCTTCTTATGAAAAGAAACCTAGATGTCTTGTACGTTATCCTGTTAGAAATTTTAATTCTTAGATTGAACGAACTAATTCGTTCAACAAAATGTTTTTAAAAGATTATCAGGAAGGGTCGACTTTTTAAGTAATTGAAAACACATAAGCTTTATAACCCATGTCTCATAATCTATATACACTGTTCATTTATTTTGAGGGACTAGCTAGTAGACATTTTTTTGAGAGAAGAAAAGGAGAAACTGTCTCAAGTATGCTATAGAGTGATAATTTTTAACACTCTTATACTCAAAGTTACTCGAGAAATTAACCACACAAACCATTTCTGTTAAAGAAATAAATATTCGGTCTAACTCAACCTTTAATTAGGTAATTTTCTTCAAACTGTAATTCAACAACAAAGAGAGAGAGAATTTTTAATCAACGGTACTGTATCAAACTCTTTTTCTCAATTCATATTCGTTGTTACTACACGTTGATGAAAAGAAATATTTAAAAATTATAATAGTACACACTAAAATTTATCTACAAAGCTTCCTGGTTGATCACAAGATTTTAAAATTTAAAATTTACTAATGTGAAAGAGCTAAATCAAGAGTTTGGACATCAATGGAAAAAGGAAGTTGGTGTACACTATCTTTTTCCATATCTCAAAATTACATTTTCATTTCAATTTGGATCATACATGTTATCTTCATTTTAGATCATCCCACCTTATGGGGGGTTATGACTTCAACATAAAAACAGAGGGAGCTTGGCCTAAAACAGTGTAAGGTGTAAGGATACTTTTAATGTATGAGGCCTTTTGTAGAAAATGATATGAGTTTGACTCAAACGGATATTATTACATGATGTTAAAAGATAACCCGATTTGCCGTCTACTTAATCGCTTAAACTAAAAATAGCCGGCAAAGGTATAATATATATATATAATTTATGTTCAGTATGTCTATAATCGTGTATAATCGATGTATAATCTATACATATGGCTAGAAAAAGTAAACAATGACTATGTCTTTGAGATGGTTTAGCCCAACAATTTTTTGTGCGAAGCATAGAATATTGAGAAATGCATAAAGTTACCTCTTTGGTTTGGCTTCTTCTTTTTTCCTTGTTTGTGATCCTGAAGAATAAGAGGAATGAGATTAGGATTCAAAAAATCATTAAGAGCATTTTGCCTACTGCAAACGTAACTTTTGCAAATAACCTCAAACTTATGCATATAATAAATTAAGCGGAAGTTGACTATCGATAATGTCTAAAGATGGAGAGGAATTTTGATCAGAAAATGAGTTTGGCATAATAGTAGGTGCAGATTTGACTATTCATCAAGTCAATGAAGAGAGGTGCATAATTGGGCTGTCAAGTTGAAATAATTGACATCATTTCAAACTAAGTATATTATTCTAAAGTCAACGGACAAACTGCCTTTCACGTTATTAGTTTCTACTAATAGAAATGGCATGATGGTGTCGCTATTTTATTACATGAACCGACTCTAGTTGCATTGGGCTAGCTGCCTTTCACATATTAAATTTTCAGCAAGAATTAACTTAAATAATCGCTCATCTAACCTCTTAAACTAAAAATAGCTAGCGAATGTATAACATAAGTATAATCCATATAAAATATATGTATAACTGTGTTTAATCAATGCAAAACATGATCCGGTTGGCAGTTGCCTTTCACATACAAGTTTTCAATTGTAGTGAGTGGTGACACTATCTTATTACATGAACAGGCTCTAGTTGCAGCGTTTTACGTTACGCGTTTTCAATATAATGGGGAAACTATCTTATCACAAAAGTTGGCTTTGGTTGCAGCAGAAACAGTTGTCTTTCACATTACTAGTTTTTTGTAGTTGACGGAAGATTAACACTATTTTTATAATTTTCACGTTACTACTATGTGATGCCTAGGTAAAATCAATTGACTGTTTAGTTTTAAAAAGTAGCTTGATAACATTCGTGATACTCAGGTTAAAGTTAAGTGACTTTTTAGTCACAAAAATAGTTTTGCCAATCACTCGAAAAAGAATTCTACCAGGTTATTCAATAAATAACTTAGTTGCAAAGAAGTAGTCATGTGGTCATTTAGTTCAGATGAAGTAGTTTATACTGTGTATAAATACAATATTATTGCAGTATAATGCTGGCTACTGCATGAAAGCTGATCATGACATATGGGCTCATACACCTCCTGTAGATAGTAGTTAGTATTGGAGAAAGATAAACTCAATTAAAGAACTGATGAAGGAATAATACTCCCATGGCAGATATACGTTAACTTCAGAAGGGAAATACTCAATCACTAAAAGCTAGCTTGCTTTAATTGGTCGACAACAAAAACTAAAGGTTGCAGATTTATTTTGGACAGCTGTAGCACAGCCTAAACACAGGTTTATTGGTTGACTTGCAACGCTTAGGAGACTGCTAACTAAAGACAGGATGATTGGGATGCAATTACAGGTTGATAATATAAACTGTAATTTGTGTAATGAAGATAAACTGGAAACAAAGGACCACTTGTTCGTTGAATGCAGTTGGATCAATGCAGTAAGACAAGATATAAACCTGTGGCTAAGGCAGGCAGTGCAGGTTGCAGGAATCAAGCAAATGCTGGAAATGATCAAAAGAAGGCATTGGAAGCAATTCAAAAAGAAGTGATAGCTGCAACTAACACTACTAGAAATTTGGTAATTAGCGACCTAAAAAAAGACCAACGTTGGTCGGTATTGGCAAATTACCGATCAAAACGCGTCCAAACACGCTTGGTCGCTATCGGTGGTCGTTTTAGTGTACCGACCAAGGTTGGTCGCCAGCTGTGCAATTTAAAGCACATACCGACCAACTTTGGTCTGTAACATATTTTAATAATTTAATTTTACCGACCAAAGTTGGTCGGTGTATTTAAATTATGTTATTTTATTAATTATTAAAATTTAAAAATTAGCGACCAAAGTTGGCCGGTAAAATAAAATATATATTTTTTAAAAAAAATTAAAATTTAACCATACCGACCAAAGTTGGTTGGTAAAGTTGAAATTTGGGTAATCCTTGTTCATTAACCGATCAACTTTGGTAGGTAATTTTTAATTTTTATTCTTTTTTAAAACTTAAGCAACCAACCTTGGTCGCTAATCAACAGTAATTAGAAACCGACCAACTTTGGTCGATTTTCTGGGTTTTAATTTTGGCATAAAATGCCTGTTTTGGCAGCTACACCACCTGCCAGCATACCAAAATCCCTAAATAACAACACAACACAACAACAACAACAACAACAACACCACCACCACCACAACAACAACAACAAAAAAAATATCACAATTCAATAAATACATTAAAACTAACAAATTAAAGTTCAATAGAACTAAAAAATCCATAATCAAGTTACAACTTATTACAACTAGTTCAAAATCGGTTCTATTTGTCTAGTTCAAAGTATATAAAAGTCAAGGAGTGTTTTGTACAACTTCATCATCACCGTTTGATGAACTTTCATCTAAAAGACGGTGTCGAGAAGGGTCTTGTGGAGGACGGGAGGAACGATCACGGGGAGGACGGAAGGAACGCTCACGTTCAAGTCGAGCCTCTGGCGATGACTCACGAGATCGGGGCAACGGAAAAGCTCCAGTAGATGGGAAAGTTCTGATCTGAGCTTGCATGCCAAGGAACTGAGCATCTCTAACCCTTCTCTTTCCTTGGCCGCTTCTAGCTCGGATGTGAGCTTTGTCACAGTCTCCCGCATAGCGGATAGGCTCTCCCCATTAAGTTGCCCGACTTGCGAGGAAGTTCCTATTCCTTGCATTCCACACTTATAGCGATGGAATTTCTTAGTAGGAAGCCCGTATACCTTCCCCCATTTTGGACCGCCAACAGACTCCATCCATATTCATTCAGCATCCTCGTCCGAAGGTTGGGTTGGCTCGCCCGATTCACCAGCTGGCTGAGTGCAGATGAATTCCTCTACGTTAGTTTGGTAGCTACCCTATACGAAAATTTAAATTGAATTCGTATTTCAAAATTTATATAAAAATAAATTAAAATAATTAAAGAAAAGTGAAAGCTTACATATACAGTCAAGGCCCGGTCCTCGACCCACCTTTCTTGATCCGTCTCTTTCTTCTTCTTTACAATATGCGTCTCCTTGAATAACTCATCATGGTTCATTGGATGCCTCAACTTCTTTTCCTGAAAACAAATTAATTTAGCTAATAAACAGAATAGATATAATTTGAAAATTAAAATAACTTAAGCAATTACGTACCAATCTTCTTTTTATTGTCCCTAGGCTGATCGCACCTCCAGTGTTCAAGGAGCCTTCCTTCTCAGATGCGCGAGCTTTCTTTCATTTTTCGCTCTTCTCTAAGAACTTTGAGGTAAGCCATTGCCTTTGCAAATCATCCCATAAATTTTGAAGTAACCAGTCAGGTTTCTTGTTCTTCTTTCTAGCTTCGGAGAAAGTATGCGACAATCGCTTGCGAGCTTTGTGATGAAAATTTGCAACCACTTCCGCGCTATAGCAGTGTTCCCATACACACTTACTCTGTATTTCAAAAGTTAAATATTATATGGAAATATCATAAATATAAATTATTAAACAGCTTAAAAGAACATTTATACCTTAAATGATTGAAAATTTGCTCCTTCAGCAAGAATGAGAAATCAGTCCAAGTCGCATAAGGGACATCATAAAGCTTTCTGATGGCTTTGGTAATTATCCTCGTAGTCTTATTACTCGGGATGAACCTACAATCTAACAATAAAAACACATTAATATCTTAGTAAAACTTTACAAAACAATAAACGCAAAAATAACAAATAACTCTTACCCATCACCCTCAGGGAGTGTGATGATCCTGCCATATTGATCATAATACACCTCCTTGTCATATCAACATCATCGTCCGAAGCATGTATATCAGAGGCATGTGTGGACGGTGTAGGGGGTCAGAGCTACTACCTCGCAGGCGAAGGCCTGAAATAGATGGAGTCGATGATGAAGATAGCTGCGATCCTTGTGACTGCGACATAGCTGGATGGACCCCAAGTGGCTGTGATACAGATGGCTGCGACCCGAGTGGCTGTGATCCATGTGGCAGTGACATGGATGGATGCGATCTATGCGATGCAGATAGCTGCGATCCACGTGGTTGTGAGGCAGCTGGACTGTATGTCCGACGTATAGTCCTATGGCCCTGTGATGAAAGACCTGGTGTATGCATGAAGGTGTAGTGCTCGTGATGCTATGACAACTCAGTATAATCGTGGGGTGGAGAATAAGACATAGGCATAGGCATCTGTCACGACCCCAAAACCAATCCGGTCGTGATGGCGCCTATTGTGGAACTAGGCCAGCCGACACAAACCCAAAACCAATAAGTATTTCCCATTCTTAGGATAAAATCAAATCTTTTTAACAATAAACCTTTATATAGTGTTTAAAACAAAATAATAGTGCGGAAAGAAAGCCCGACATCGGGATGTCACTAGTCATAAGCATCTACTACAACTGTCTAACAACATCAAGACCAATATGGCCGGGAAAATTACAAGAATACATTAAGGGGGAACAAGGAGGGAGAAAAGTAGAGCAGCGATCGCCAGGAAGCTACCTTGCTAACTTTGATGAACCTGCCACCAAGCTCAGAAATACCTAAATCTACACACAAGGTACAGGAAGTAATGTGAGTACACCAACTCAGTAAGTAATAAAAGTAAATAAAGACTGAGCAGTAGGAAACAATAGAATCCACATCATAACACCACAGTAAGTAGAGTGTGCTTCCATAACAATGTATAAATCAAATCATTTCGTCAAATTTCAATTTTCGGTGGAAATCATTTGAAGATGTGTAAAACTCCACTTAAAGCATCTTTCAGCGGTTTTCAAAATAAGTGATGAAACAGTGAGTAAAATGGTGGATAACGTAGTTGGCCTCTCGGGTAAAACTCACTCGAATACAGCCCCTCGGGCAACGTAAATCATAAATAGCCCTCGGGTAACATAGTCATAAACAGCCCCTCGGGCAATCATTTATACATCTCATACCATGTAAATCTTAGTGAAAATTTCAAAGCCAAATCAGCAATTAAATTCCGAACATCTTTTGAAAACTCCAGTTTCAATGAAAGTTGTATAAAACAATTGTTCAACATTTGCAACAGAGGCTCAATATAAAGAGGAGTGAA